ATCAGTAGCACGATCCCGAAGGGGGCCAGATCCGGCGGTCGCCCATACGGTCCCAGCACGAGCGCGCTGTGTGGAATATTGTGGAGATGCTTGGCATTATAGAGCGCCGCCGCCAGTGCCGAAGACTGTGGGCGGGCCAGCACCCGTAGCGTTCGGTGACCCATCGCAGTATACCAGGAGGTCCTCCCTCTCGATCCATGCCGCTGGCTGACAGTGGGCACGGCTGCATCGCGTTCTGCCGCTGTCCCCACCTGTCTCCATTCCACCCCTTGTTCGGCAGTCGATGCCCTTGCGTCGTTGGACCCCGGCGTATCTTCCCAAGAAGAGACATAGAAAAGCGGAAGTTGACTAGCAGTTCGCAGGCCTGCCTGTGGCAGCCAGAGGTACACATATTGGCCGGCCTCGACTTTCCACGCAGAGGGGACGGCGATGTCCATACGGAGAAGCTCATCGTGCTGGGATATGACAACAGAAGGCCAGGTGTGGCCCCAGCGTCTTCGTAGGGGAACAGCCAAGGAAACCAGACTCAGGAACATCCACAGAGCCGCTGCCGCCACCAAACACCAGAGGCTTTTTGACCGGCGCATCCAGACATGGTAGGACATCGAAGCCAGTCCGGTTACTGCCAAGAGGTAGTGACACTTCATCGCCAGCTGCGGGTAACGGCGAACCACGGCATGCAGCGTCACGGGAGCGATCAAGATCATCGAACACGCTGCCTGTTTCTGTTAGCGGACGACCGATATTCGGGGGAACTGCCCACGGAATCCTCCCGGGAATCAGAGCAAATGCCTCACCAGAACTGGAATATAATGCTGTCGTATAGCTTGCGCCGGTTGGCCGTCACTCAGGATCGCAATCGCTCCGTGGAGGACGCAGTGGATGATGACCATCCGGCCGACCCATCGATGCGTCCAGGCTGCCGCCGACCAATCGATGCCTAGAAGATGCGCTGGAAACCCAAAGGTCCAGCCCGTCCACAACGGAATGAAATTCATGACCGCGAGGTTGGCGGCGCGGCGGTGCACGGTCGCCCAGGATCGAGCCCGCAAGACCAGTGGCAGGATGTTCACCGTGAGCAGGAGCGCGACCACTGAGCCCTGTTGGACAGTGGCCATATCGAGGTGGCCGAACGGTCTCGGCAGGGGATAGGCAAAGAGTCGCCGTAATTGCATCACGTGCCATCGGATCGCCCACCGGCCACCACGGGACGCCAGACGCCATACGAGCCAGCTGGCCAGAGCGATTGCGGCGCATATTCCATACCAATCAGTCTGCGATATGTGGGAGATTCGGTCGTACCAGGGAGATGTCGTTGGAGGCATCCTGCAGGTCAGGATCGATAGTCTGGGGAGTGGAGGAGTATTTGTATCCCATCGGGTGTCATGTCATCTGGACCCTCATCTAGATGCTTGCAGCCGAATGTGGGGGGTAAATAAACACGGTGCGTGGTAATATGGGCGAGTTAGCCCGTCTAACTCAATTTTCAGATTCCGACCTACAAGATAACGGCTGGGTGCCGGGCAAGTGACAGGCAAGAAACTGAGGGCCTCTTACCAAGCATGCGGGTGCGATGGTCCAGAACAAAACAACTTTCCTGAATTATCGAGAGACGCTGTCGCTCCTACTACGCTACAGTGATCTCAGGTTACCATTCTCTGAGCTTTGTCGGCCGTCCGGTCAATATTACCCGTAGCGACGATCTACCCTCATTTTACTCCATCACGGGCTGGGCATCAATCCCTTCATCATGTAAAATGAAATTGACCATAATCAGGCTACACCATTCTTAAGAAGCATATTCCACCACGAAAGAGAAGACAGGCTCCGCAAAAATCCCTTGTATCCTGCGAATGACGCATTAATCCGCTGGTGCCTTGGAGCGTGGTTCAGCCATGATATCGATGGTATGGACAGCCCTATCGACGTGAAAGGAGGTGCCACCAAGAGCTCCTCATCAGGGCTGCTGCTGTCATTGGGTTTAGGAGGGTTTCATCAGCGCTGAGCCTATGAGTGAGCGGCCCGCGAAGAAGATTGTGACATGCTTACAACGTCCTTTCAAGCATTGCCGGATTTAGCTTCACAGAAAGAGAGCATCGAAGGCTTGCCCCCAGTGGATAGTAGTTACAACTCGAGGGATGATAGTCCCCTCAAAACCGTGACTCTTTACGTGGGGGTGATGCTCACTGTGGCTGCTCATTCGCCCACCACCTTTTGATTGTTTTTGCGAGTCAATACGTAGGCCTCAGGGTCTCGTGATATATTCCAGTATGGTACCGACAATGATCAAGCGGAATATTGTTAAAAATTACAAGACTAGGAACTGTGACCAAATGCGTCAGAGTCTCATAGGTGCAGTATAGTCACGTTGGTCAGTCAAGGACAAAAGCCAGCCGAGATGAGTGGCGGAAATAAACGAAACCCTGGTCCAGAAAAATAAAGAGAGAGATCTGTATAGCCTGATACAGTACGGTCAACAGAGAGATTCGTCACCTAGACCGCCGCATATGGCTGTTCCGAACATTGTCCATGCCATTTGCTGTGTACCGGAGAGCAGCTTTCGGCTAGGTCCCAGGACCGTGATTGAGGCTCCTAGGAGCCACTCTAAACATCTGGAGAGACATGCAGGGAGTGCTGGAGTTATATATTATGAATTGCAGAGTACACTACCTCTCCTCAAACCGGGAGTTTCCATATTTCCTTCCCATATATCTCCAACTTCTGAGCTGGCTGAACGTTTCCAGACTCTGTGGATCTTCCTCTTGTCAGTCTATATGGACCACCTTGCCCTGTACCGAGATAATGTACAACAAATCGAAAATCATTGGCTTCTGGTGATGTTCACACACGAGGGTTATCATGAGATCGCCAAGCTCATCATGGGCTACCTGTCGGCATCCAATGTTGCAGCACTACACGCAGCGCTGAAAATCAAGCCGTCGGAGTCGGTCCGCAGACATTATCTGCATCCTGGTTCCGCGACGGCTGTCAAATTCTCATGATTGGCCCGGACACCTTATTGTTGAAGGAACGGATTCGGAACCCTGAGGCTTACTATCAACATTGCCGAGGCCGAAAACTTCCTCGACTAGAGACATGGGTTGTGGGAATACCACCTACATCTGAATCAGATCATCTGAAACGCCTCAAGCGAATAAATAGGCTAAAAAGGAAGTGGAAAAACCACCGAAACGTTCCGGTGGTTAGAGCAGCAGCGCTTGTTGCTCTCGAAGACATCCTTTATCTGGACACTCTCCGACAGTGTCTGTGCCTCTATGACCACAATAACGCTGACTGCAATACGCTTGATAGTTACACGTTGATTGGAGAAAGTATCCTGGTGAAGGCCTTTGACCTTTTCAATTGCAGTGGCCTATTGAGCTCAGGCCCTGTTGGACTAAGATTTTTGGGAATCCAATTTCGCCTCCCTTGGAACATCAATAAGGCCATATCACCAGGGGATCGCTGGACACCAAAAGATGGCATACCTTATATCGATGCAGCTTACCCGTTCTGTCCCCAATTCGCAACTGCCGATCGCACATACTGGGGGTCTCCACGCAAAAATTTTGGAGAGAGGGATGCTGCTCTTATTTTCGACTGCGACTATTCGCTGGATGAACGTTGGACGGTTTCTATTAAACTAATGTTTTCAGAGATGGACTCTTCTGGCTGGCCCGTTTGCTTTGCTTAATCACTGTTCCTGCCCTGTTTGATTCTGTTGTATGTTTCCCTGGCAATAGGAGCGACTGCTATGAGCATGTAGTCTTAAACGTATATCTAGGTTGGGTAACTTCAGCAACCTCCGCAAATGCCTGCCCCTGGATCCCGTACGGTAAATGATACAATGGACAGATCTAGGTTGTTCTATGGATACCAGTTCAATGGGCGGGCAACCGCACCGATGACTTCTTAGCCTTGAGAACGAAGGCAACATCCTGCCTGCAGAGCAAGTGCGTCCGTAAATGCCCGCCCATAATGATTCGTGTCTTCCATATTTCAGTGGGCGGTCAAACGGGTTCGAAGCGCCACTGGGCGATCCACCCCAACCTGAGTGCAGTTACCAACCGGCACACCAAACAACCAGCATGCATGCCTTGGTAAACCAGCATTGTCAGGCGTGACGGGACAAGTGTTCTACATCAGCCAGACATATAACAGCGAAAAAGCTCAAACGGGCGTCTCGGCGCGTCTCGGACGCGACTCGGGTGCTTGTGCGCTATGAAGTAGCCGTCGCATTCATGCCTATTTTGCCCGTAGACTCAGTAAGATGAATGCTACAAAACATTCCTGATGCAGATCGATTTGGACCTTGTGGTCGAACGTAAGCTGCGGTTAGACCATACACAATGATATTGAACTCCGGCACTCATGGAGCGACCTCGTGCGCTAAGACGACTACATTCCTTGATCTGGGTACTACGCAGAATGGAAAACTAACGCAGATGGCTCGTGTATCCGCATCTCGAATTGTTGATGCTCATCCTAAAACTCGTTACCATAGGTCACAGTGAAATCTACTCTTCGGGTGAGAACGATGCTAACTTCGTTCTCGCATGGCAGGAATCCCAGGTATGGAGAGCCCACCCTCTCGCATTCCATTCTATCTCCGACTTGCGGTCCGATTAGATCACTGGAGAAAATTGCAGACAGGGCAGTCCTGAACGCAACCAGGGACTCCGAAGCTCAGCAAGTTCGGCGTTGGTCGGCGTCCCGAAGCTGTCGGTTGTCCACCGTGTGTGAGTCCGCTTGATCGTATAAAGCGGTTGCGGTGGCTACCAGCGCACCATCACGGGTAACCGTGGCTTCAAGCCAGGTAAGTTGATCCCGGATAACTTTCCGCGAGACTGCTGTCAAGACATCGCCGGGGCCAAACGCTCCATGATAGAACACGCCGAAGTTGCGGATCTCCGCTTGGTCTCCACAGGCATCGAACACCCGGTGACAAAGCAAGGTCACCAGCAACCAGTTGCCGTTGGCCTGTCGATCGTGAGGTACAATTGCGGCGGCTTGGGCGACGGATTCAGCCGCCGGTAGAAGGCTCACAGAGTCCAAGAACTGGCCTTCCAGGGTTGACGACAGTCCCGGTGTATCGCGTCCGCGGTCCGAAATAGCTTCGGCGAGAGTTGCTAGGTCTGGCAATGGCGGTGACGCGCAGCACTCACACACTGACGTCGAGGCCGAGGAATCGGACGGCGGATCCGCATATTCGGATAGGACGTTGGGATAAACTACCTGATGAGCAGTCGGCTGGAAGATCGGTAGCTCCGGGCGGTTGACAACAGGCCGAGACATCTTGCTATCGAGGTATGCGAGTCGGACAATTGCGCTAAGGCTGCAAATATTCAACCGATTTATCTGCTTTGAAGGAAACGAAGTGAGTTCTTTGGACGAGGTACCGAAGCTAGGTGAGATATGGTTGGCGTTGAGCTTTATATATCGAATGGCCCAGACTCGCAGTCCCGGTGAGAGTACTAGGTCAATATGAACCTTCTGGTCATAGCGATGTGTGTGGTATATTCAGCTACTCCTAGCCGTGCCGACGTCTGCCTTGCCCTATTGCGGTGGTTCACTGGGCCAAGGCGGGTATTCAGCAGTCTCCCCCGGCTTCTCAAGCTTTTTCCCGGGTGAACCAGAAAATGTCCCTTCTAGAAAGAGGTGAGAGCCCTGTTGAAAAGCAGTTGATCGCTGCGTTAAATCTCTTCTACCGTTGGATGGCCGGGCATGCTGTGGGCGCTCAATCCGAAGCGTCGCTCAATATCGGATGACCGGTCAACTCTAAATAGGTTGTGCAAGATCTGAATGGGAAATCCGAAAATGAGCAGTGCTGGGTATCCCAGGTGGCCAAGCCTGAAAGGCTACGATGATTACCAAGCAAAATCTCCATCGTGACTGGGTTAGGGTCCGCTGCGTGGACTTAAATTCTTCATAGGGCAAGTGAACGCAGCGTTCCCTGCGTATAAGCAAATCTTACATTCAGACTGTCATAAAGCAGGGACCGGGCACCATCNTGTCTACGCTAACTGATTCCCAGATGGTGTTGAGCGCTGCCGCCCAATCAACCCGGCCGACATCAACGCAGCCAGCCTGAGACTGGCCGACTTGCGGGACATTGTGGACCAGCTGATGCGACGAAACGGGGCGGACTATTGTTGGAGCGACAACGTACTGGATTTCGCGACCCGTCTTGCCGAAGCCGATGGTCATCTGGAAAAACTATTGCAGGTAACCACAACTTATTTCACGCCAACACAGTATACGCTGACGCTGGCATGCGTTCTCTTCATAGCACCCACTGATGCGGTGTGAAGCTGGGGATGGGAGCCTGAAATAGCTTGTCAACTTAGTCAACAAGACCGCATATCGCAGAGTCGTTTCTTGCCCGCTACGCTGGGATAAGTAGATCTGTTGGGGGAGGCCGGGCGACAATGGGGCATTTCCGACTACATGTCAAACAGCATATTGACATCGAAGTGGAGGTAGAACTTGTTCACTCACAGCGATGCGGTCTGAACTCCTCCTCCTCTGGGTTTCCTTAAAATGATGGGAAAATAACAGTACTATATCCATGCCTTCAAAAGAGCACCCGCGGGAATGAANCCCATGTCATCCTGCAGCTGTTGGCCAAATCTGCGTTCGTATTCGTCCGCGTAAGCGTGGGCTGCTGCCGTGAATCTCCCAAATAGTTGGTCTCCGAGGGTGCTAACTTCAGTATTCGCATCAAGATCATTTTCGCGCAACCACTCGGCATAGAAGCTTCTCATCGTTCTAGGGTTGTTGCCGTGGTTTGAGCTCTCCTGGGTTTGATCTCCTCGGTTCTGATCACCATGTTTTTTATTATCCTGGTGCTGGCTGGCTTGGCCCTGGCTGCCCGAGTTCTGACTGCCCGAGTTCTGACTGCCCGAGTTCTGACTGCCCGAGTTCTGACTGCCCGAGTTCTGACTGCCCGAGTTCTGACTGCCCGCGTTCTGACTGCCCGCGTTCTGACTGCCTGAACCTGGCCTGCGTGGATCGCCTGGAGAGGCCCGGCCACCCTCGTTTTTGGCTCCTCGCCCTGGTATATCGTTGTTTGCTTGATGGCTCGCCGGATCCCCCTCACCCGGCTCTGGAGACTCCGTCAAACCTGGAGGAGTTCTCTCTAGATCTCCCTGGTTACTGCCACCGAGCATAATCTCCCGATATCGTTTCACCTGGAGAAGTCCGATTTGGTAAAATTTCCTGTCCGTTCGTTCGTTCGAGGCCTTGGACTGGCTGCTGAGTGTTTTGTAGTCCGTTCGACTGATCCACGTCCGCACCAACCCGTCCGTCCATTCAACTAGAACAGTACTGAACGGGTACCTGTATTTCGCCTCGTCTACCTTATTTTGGGGGTTCAGCTCTTCCACCGAATCTAGAAGATCTTCGATGTTCCGTATCTTCCGTTTAGGTTTCCAGGCAACGTTTAGGATCTTCTTGATCTTTCCCCGATGGATATACTCCCCCTCTTCGTTGGTCTCCAGTGCTTTCTTATGGGGATTTCCGCGGATACTTGTAACTTTACCCACAGTGCGTTCAGCTTGGGCGGATTCCCAGACGGTCATCGCGCAGCTCTTGTATCCGTAGGAGTTAAGATAGATTGGCCCTCTACTGGCCTTGTGCTTGGCTAGGGTCGTCCCGCCGTCGAGGCCCCATCCTTCTGGTTCCCCGTCCCCTGTCAAATCGACCGTATCAACCGGCTTTATATCCGCATAATCCCCGGGCGTGTCGTTTTCATCGTCGTCCTCCACCGGAACATCGACTTCTCGGGTCTGTGCGAAGTCCGGGGGGTCCGACCCTAGCCCATGATCCACATCGTCCACATCCATTTCGGATCCATGCTGCTCTTCATCTGCAGCTTTGATCTGGGCCTGAATAGCCTCTTCTTTCTCGGTCAATTGGTTAAGCTCAGTGAATAAAGCTTTGAGCTGCGCTTCGTTCTCAGCCTGATTGGTGATTTCCGGATTCTGGAGTCGTTGTTCGACCTCCCCGATTCGGCTCTCCAGAGCCTTTCTCTTCGCAATATTCTCATTTGACTGCGCATGCAAATCTTTGAGCCTCCTTTTCAGTGCCTCCGCATCTCTTGCCCGTGCCCTAGTCTTCATACGACGCGGGGTCTTATTAACTCCGCCTGATTTTCCGGCGCGGGGCGCCATCTTCAGAGAGCTCTTGTTGATTGCTGTTCCGGCTCTTGGTGGAATTGTGAGCTGTCTAATCTGCGTGGATTCAGGGACATCGTGGTTGGCCTTTATATATCAAGACGGTAGATGTTCCCACCACTTTCTACTCCGGGGACTCGATGGCCAGATTTTGAGGACTCGTTTGCCACCCATTGTAGAGGGAGACGTAGGGACACACACTTTCTGTCTTCTGCTTTGCTGATTGGCTTAAACCCACAATCTCTTTAATGACCCCCGCACATTTGTGAAATTGTAGACCGGCAGACCAGATTCCTGCCTGCGACTACACCTCAGGCTTTTTCTGTGGTGTGGGGAGATATTGGGGCGGTTTTTTAACGTTATGCCAAAGGACACGATGCATCATACTCTAGTCTGAGGGCCCGTCAGCATACGTTATTCCTCAAGGAGTAAGGGCAGGTTGGTTCGTCCTGTTCGAAAGGAACCAAGGAGTCTACTTGTTGAGGTTCGCTTACGTTGTACCCGTCCATAACTGCTACGAGTACTCCCAATGCCTTTATCAGTGATATGCCAGTCCGTGAGGACTTGCAAGGAATGGTATATTGCGATCTCACTATAGGGGACAACCGATAGGCAATAGCACTGTTCCTTACCCTGCCACATCACCGATGCCATATAGTCCATTGCCCTCCTTGGGGAGTGACAGCAGTGCCTCGCTTATCCGCGATCTGCTTTTTCCTTAGGTTGGAAGGGGTGGACTTGCACGCCCGAGATGGCGCCGGACAGACCGTTCTCCATCTCGCCACCCAGCGACACGATGCATTTTCCATTATGATGCTTCTACTGCGGGACGGCCGTGTAGACACCAATGCGCTGGACTCGGACAGGTGGTCCGCGTTGTCGTACGCCGTACGCCGAATGAATCCCGCCGCTGTCCGGCTGCTTCTTGAATATGGCGCGCACGCGGGCATACAACACGTTGACGGAGTCACACCACTGAACATGGCCGTAGCTCAGGGAGACGAGGCTATAGTACGAATGATATTGAAGGTCACTCCTCGTCACATGTTGATGTAGAAGAAATCCCGCTGAAGCGTGGACGTTTCTAAAGTCTCCGTCACTTGTCTGCAACTAGAAGCTATTTTTCTCCAGTAATCTGTTCGGGACCGCAAGGCGGAGGCAGAATGGAGTGCGAGAATATGGGCTCCGCCATATTCGCATTCCGCCATGCGAGAACGAAGTTACTGTAGCATCGTTCTCAGCCGAAGGCTGGATGTTACTGTGACCTGTAGTAACGAGTTTTAAGCTGGGCATTAACAAGCTGTGCTCTCTTGAGATACGGATACAGGAGCCATCTGCGTCAGAGTTTAATTCTACATGGTACCCAGATCAAGGAATGTACTCGTCCCAGCGCACGAGGTAGCTCTCTCAGCGCCAGCATCTAATATTATGGTATGGGCTAACCGCAGCTTAAGTTCGACCACGAGGCCCAAATCGATCTACATCGGGAATTTTTCGTAGTATCCATCTGACAGGGTCTAGGGGGTAAATCAGCATGAATGCTACGACCCGTGCCTGATCAGGTCTCTGCCCTAACGAAAATGAGGTCCATCCCTGAGCGTGCATACAAGACCCCGCGATTTTGCGCACCCGCACATTTATGCAGGGTAGTGCATCCATCCATGGATGGGACCACGGGGATTATATATTGATAGAGCAATCTCTTGCACGGATGTCGAGGTCAGCCCAAACAACTTCCGGCGTCATGTTCTCTGTTACTATTCTGATATTCTGGATTCTAGCCGCAGCTGCAGTGAGTCATACCCATCCTTGCTCACAGAAGTATTGCCGCTCAAGCCTCCCTCCCTCTAGGTGTCTGGTCTCGCTGTCCACCGCGGAAAACCAGGAGGTGCGTGTGACCAAGTACGGAAGTACGGGATGTTGGTCAGGAACGGAATAGACTGACTGAGGGACGTACCATTTCTTCGTGTAGGCGCGAGAATGGCTGACGGCGATAACATCACACCAAAAGGTGCGCGCTCTATCAAGCGTTGGTGAACGGGGAACTGACGGGACGGTGTGCCAATGTACCAGCCTGCCCAGCGGGTAGACATATGCACAGAAAGCATTATCATGCACATTTTGGCACAGGCCAAGGTTGCTAGAGATCGGTTCAGGCCGTGTGCGATGACGCCAATTATTACTGAAAATGAGGGGCAAGAACGCTGTGGGTGGGCATCTTGGTCTTGCTGCGGTCAGACGTGACGTGACGATTAGCCTAGTGATCCGACCTTATAAATGAACTGTCTCTGCCTCCGC